TCACGACCTTCAGATTATGAGACTGACGCCGCTGCCTACTGCCCGCGCCAACGAGAGCCCAAAAGCAAAATTCCGTTAGGTGAACAATGGGGAGTCCAGCATAAAGCGGGGTCAAGCCAAGACCTGTTCTAGAGGTCTAAGGTCGACACCCGTCAAACGCAGATTGAGCTCACGCAGGGGAAGAAAGGTAATCGTCCGTTAGCATAGAGCAAGAAAGGGAATCAAAGAGTCTGGCTGAGAGGAGAAGAATTTGTTTTCAATTTACAAGATGTGCATTGGCAAGGGAGTGGAATTAGATGGGCGGAGTCAGGACGGGTTGCAACATCTCCTCGTGTTAGTATAGTGCGCTCAGGTATTCCCCGCCTGTTCACGCGGGAGACGGGGTTCCAAATTCCCCGACGGGGAGTGTATTGCGCTTTTTTGTTGATGTGGTTAACGCCATGGCAGTACAAGCCATTCAGAAAAAGAATGGCCCTGAACCACTCTATAATGCGAGAAATATTTTGTTGGACAACTGTAAACACTGCTGTCGAGAGCACAGGAGGAACAAGGCGCAAAACGCAAAGCCAGGACATCTAAAGGAACTTATAAGGTGAGGCACGACCGAATGTTGTGGATCCCATAAACAGAGCCTTGCCATAGTTTCCTGGTTCTGGCTTGTCACAAGGAGCACACTAGTAGATTTTTCCTCTTTCCATCCATATTGCCCTGAATGAATCCAAGGGCCCGGTTATTTCTGTCAGTAGTGACAGCTCTGTTCGATGAACCGGTCTATCAACACGTACCCAACAGCGTGTTTGACCCCTTAGGCGGACCTTCAGAATTCCCAGGCTAGGAACTTTCCAGTTTCTCTCTCATCAACACGGCGTAAGGAACTATGGTGAAAAAGATTTTGGGCCAACTCATTTTTCAAAGGATTTCCTTGGCCATTTAATATTGAAAATGGATGGCGTTGAATCATGCACGTTACCCGTCCAGATCACCAGCAAGACAAATGTGAATACACTACGAAAGGAATATGCCCCGTGTGGAGGCTCGAACTCAACGACCTTCAGATTATGAGACTGACGCGCTGCCTACTGCGCGCCAACGAGGCCCAACAAAGGACGATTTCCGTTGGGTGACAAAATGGGGAGAGTCCCAGCCATAAAGGGGGTCCAGTCTCAGGAGACAGGGAGGAACAGGACCGTAGACGGCCAAAAGCAGGTCATCTCAAGGACACTTATAGGTGGACCAACAGACTCTTCCCCATTCTCTCTCTGATGACAAACATGTATAATGAAATGTTTGGTGTCCTTAAAATGCTTGTGTTATAGTTTCCCGCCCGTTCTGGCTGTCTAAGGGGCACATGAGTTGATTTTGCTGCTCTTTCCATCTACATTGCCCCTGATAAAATCCAAGGGCCTTATTTCCTGTCAGGAGCTTGCCATCGTTTCCTGGTTCTGGCTGTCCATGGAGCACATGAGTAAGATTTTTCCTCTTTCCATCCATATTGTCCGTTGGAAATCCAAGGCCTTATGTCAGTATTGAGCGATTGTCTGATGAACAGTCTGTCAACAGTCAACAGCTTGTTTGATCTCTTGGAACTTCAGATCCCTGGGAGAAGTACTACTTTCCAGTTTCTCTCATCAACAAGGCGTAAGGAAAATATGTGAATTTGGGGCTACTCATTAGAACTTAAAGGAAGTGCATTGGCGAATCAACCCCGGGCCTACGCGTGGCGAGGCGAATTCTAACCACTGGAACCACCATGCTTACCTTGGGAGGTCTTCTTACCACTCCGAAAATAAAATCAGGGCGGGAGCTTCAATTCCCAGGCGAGGCAAGCGCAATTTTTTGGAAAAGGGGCCTTTTATTCCTGCCAATGTTTGAATACCTGCCTCACACTTGAGGAAGGCTGTTGTTTATGTGCTAAAAGATTTTGCATTCAGATCGGAAGAGACATTTCACAGGATTTCTCTTGCCATTTAATACTGAAATGGATGGCGTTGAAAATCATTCCACGTTACCCGCCGGATCAGAAAATGACTACACTACAAAAGATGTGCCCGTGGAGGCTCGAACTCACGACTTCAGATATGAGACTGACGCGCTGCCTACTGCGCCAAACGAGGCCCAAAAGCAACATTCCGTTAGGTGACAATGGGGGAGTCCAGCATAAAGGGGGTCAGGTCTCAAGGAGACCAGGAGGAACAGGACGTAGACGCAAAGCAGGTTCATCTCAAGGAACTTATAAGTGGACCAACAGATTCTCCCATTCTCTTTCTGATGACAACATGGTTAAATGAAAGGTTGGTGTCCTTAAATGCTTGGTTATAGTTTCCGGTCCGTGGCTGTCTAAGGGGCACATGAGTTGATTTTTTGGCTCCTTTCCATCTACATGTGCCCCCTGATGAAATCCAAAGAAGGCCCTTATTTCTGTCAGGCTGCCATCGTTCCTGGTTCCTGGCTTGTCCATGGAGCAACATGAGTAGATTTTTTCCCTCTTTCCCATCCATATTGTCCTGATGAAATCAAGGGGCCGCTTATATTTTCCAGTATTGAGCGATTGTCTGATGAACAGTCCTGTCCAACAGTCCAACAGCTTGTTTGATCTGCTTGGAACTTCGATTCCCTGTAGTACTTTCCAGTTTCTCTCATCAACAAGGCGTAGGATACTATGTGATTTGGGCTACTCATTGAACTTAGGAGTGCATTGGCGGGCACGGCCGGATTCTACCACTGAACCACCAATGCTTACCTTGAAGGTCTTTCTTACCACCCCGAAAATAAAATCAGCGGGACGATTTCAATTCCCAGGCGAGGCAAGCGCAAATTTTTGGAAAGGGCCTTTATTCCTGCCAATGTTTGAATACCTGGCCTCACTTTTGAGGACAGGCTGTTGTTTATGTGGCTAAAAGATTTTTGCCTTCAAGATCGGTAAGAGACATTTCAACAGGATTTCCTTGCCATTTAATACTCGAAATGGATGGCGTTGAAATCCATGCAACGTTACTCGCCCGGATCAGAAACTGAATACACTACAAAAAGATATGCCCGTGTGTGAGGCGTCGAACTCACGACCTTCAAGATATGAAGACCTGACGCCGGCCTGCTACGCGCCCCAACGAGGCCCAAAAGCAACATTCCGTTAGGTGACAATGGGGGGAGTAACGTGCATAAACGGGATCACAGGTCTCAGGAGACCAGGAGCAACAGGACGTAGACTGGCAAAGCAGGTCCGATCTAAAGCAACATATTAAGTGGACAAACCAGACCGCTCCCAATTCTCTTCTGATGTATCAACATGCAAGAATGAAAGTTGGTGTCCTTAATGCTTGTCATAGTTCGCCGGATTTTGACTCCCGGCCTGTTCTATTTTCGGAGTGGTAAGAGGCCACATGAGTTGTTGGTGCTTCAGTTTACATCTAGACTGCCATGATGAAATCCCAGGGGTTCGTATTTCCTGTCAAGGCTTGCCATCGTTTTCCTAGTTCTTGAGCTGTCCCAAGGAGCACATGGTAGATTCTTACTCCTTTGCATCCATGAGTGAACTGAGAAATAGTGCCAAGGAATCTGTATGTCAGTATCGAACGAGCGATGGACTGTTGCAGACTGTCATCAGACAATCGCTCAACTACTGACATAAGGGCCCTTGGATTTCTCAGGGACAATATGGATGGAAAAGAGGAAAAATCTACTCATGTGCTCGTTTGGTATTTGTTTCAGCCAGAACCAGGGAACGATGGCAAGCCTGACAGAAATAAGGCCCTTGGATTTTCATCAGGGCAATGTAGATGGAAGAGCAAAAAATCAACTCAGGTGGGCTCCTTAGACAGCCAGAACCGCGGAAACCTATAAACAAGCCTTTAAGGACACCCACATTTCATTTCTAAAACATGTTGTCATAGGACAGGAGAATGGTGAAGAGGTCTGTTGTCCCACTTATAAGTCCTTGAGATGACTTGCTTTCTACCGTCTACGTCCTTTGTTCCTCCTGGTCTCCTGAGGACCTGAATCCCTTTAGCTGGATCCCCCATTTGTCACCTAACGGAATGTTGCCTTTTTGCGGTCCTCGTTGGCGCAGTTAGCAGCGCGTCAGTCTCATAATCTGTAACGTGTCAGTTGAATGTTCCGAGCCTTACCCACGGGGCCACATCTCTTGTAGTGTAGTCATTCTGATCCTGCGTGTAAACGTTGCCCAACTGATTCAACGCCCATCCATTTAGTATTAATGGCCAAGGAAAATCCTGTGAAATGTTCTTCCGATTCTGAATGCAAAATCCTTTTTCAGCACCATAAACAACCAGCCTTCTTCAAAGGTGAGCCAGGTATTCAACCATTGGCACCCACGGTGATAAAAGGCCCTTTTCCAAAAATTTCAGAAACTGGAAAGTACTACCAGGGAATCTGAAGCTCCAAGAGATCAAACAAGCTGTTGACTGTTGACAGACTGTTCATCAGACAATCGCTCAATACTGACAGAAATAAGGGCCCTTGGATTTCATCAGGGCAATATGGATGGAAAGAGGAAAAATCTACTCATGTGCTCCATAGACAGCCAGAAGGAAACTATAGCAATAAGCCTTTATGGACACCAACATTTCATTTGACATTTTGTCATCAGAAGAGAATGGGGAGAGTCCGTCGTCCACTTATAAGTTCCTTTAGATGTCCTGCTTTGTGTTTGCGTCCTGTTCCTCATGGTCTCGTCTTTACAGTTGTCCAAAATGTATTTTCCAGCCTAGGTGGTTCAGGGGCATTATTTTTCTGAATGTCTGTACTGCATGGCTGTTAACCACAACAACAGCAACAAAAGTGTGTGCACTCCCCGTCGGGGAATTGAACCCCGGTCGTTTACTCCGCCCAGGTAATTGTACTAAAACTCCCTAAACGCTTTCCCATTTGTAGTGCTCAATCACTACGGATGTAATATATCTTTGGCCACGAGTGGCGCTGTGGCACACTTGCCAGTCAGAGCTGTCTGCTCCCCCCCTCTCTCCCTCAGTGAGAGACTGGACAGCGACGTTACTGCGTACATCTTTTTCATCTCTGGACATTACGACCAAACTACAAGGTAAGTTATATTAACATGAATTAATAACAAAGAAGCGACATGTAATGATGTGTTATCTGGGCTTTGTCTAACGTGTTTTAGTTTAGATGAACGCCATAAAGTTGTCCGTGTTTCCTAAGTGTATCGAGTCTAACGGCTGCATGTACACGGCACTTTGGGATGAAAAATACATGTTAATGTAAAGTGAATTAAACTTTAGCAGCTTAAAGTTAATGTAATATGATTTGTGTGTGAGTTTATTGTGTTTTTGTTGACTTGGTGAGTAGAAATTACTGCGAGTTCCTTGTGTTAGCGTTTACATTAATGCATATTTAAATATAAAATGAAATGTAACGCTAACTACCATGTAAGTTTACCATTAACTCCCGTATTATTTTTTATAGATATTGACAATTCTGCATAAAAAGTCATTTTACTTTTATTTTGGTGATAGAACTTGTTTTAATATACATGACTTGTAAAAGCAATCTTTATCATTGAAATGCATTTCTGTTTGAATTAGCTAAAAGGAAATTGGACAAAGGGTGTTTCTAGATAGGACACTCCACACTAAAGTGTTACCTGGGTCGCATGACTGGGGGAGGCAGCTGGGATCCTGGAACAAAGGCAGTTGAGGTGTGAACTCACCCTCGGCTGAGCTCCCTTCACCCTCAAGTTTGTTTCCTTTGTTAGTTAAAGGGTTTGACCCATGGGGGGTAATTGAAGTGTAAATAGTTTGTTTCAACAAACACAGAGCTCCAGACATACAGGAAGAAAGGCATTTAATGAAGCCGGTACACCAAGATCAACAAGATCCAAAGTAAAATAACACTACATATATTATAGCACAATGTGAATGTCAGACAGTTAAAGCTAGGGCTGAGATGTTAACCCCATAATGTCTGATCTAAGTCTTGTCTGTTTTCATTTAGGGATGGATCAAAATGAAGAGCAAGCGATGCTGAGTATCTCTCCTTCCAAGCAACGTGTGCAGAGCTGTGAGTGAACATGTTGTCTCTGCTTGTTTTATACTGCCTGAAGAGTTCAAATCATTTAGAATTCAGGCTGTTCGATATTACTCGTGTTTTTTTTTTTACAGCTCAAAGTATGTATATAAATCACTCTGTGTTTGTTTTTTGCAGCGGTCTCTGCACCACCATCAACAGCAAGCCCACAACAAGCTCCAAGAACAAAAAGAGGTTTATTTTTATTTTTCATTCCTGATGTCATCAGCTGACAACTCTGGGACCATGAATTATTTTCCCAAAATTAAGCATGACTTTCTGTCACATGTTGGCCATGTTCTGGTCGGACCATGTTCTGGTCTGTTTGTCTTTGCTCTTCTACATGTTGTCCTAGTGACTATGAATTGAAACCAGTCATGTTGAGGTAAGTTACTGCTTTTGTTCTTATTTGGATTGAATGAAAAGTACACATTTAAACTGCTGTGGTCACTAACACTTGAACACATGTGTTTGCAGTGTACCAAGTTAATTCACCTGCTCAGACTGAGTTGTAATGACTGAATGCTGAATATTAATCCAAACAAAAGTAATGCATGTGTATGAACTAAATGTATTCTCTAAACATTAATATGAGAAACAGTGTGTTTCACTTTATGAGATCAGCAGGTGGAGTAAAGATGGGTGATGTTTGGTCTTACTAACATAATGACTTATTTCTATATTGCCATAATATGAATAAACTGACACACTTTTCTATTTTAGTATCTTCTGCTACCCTCTCCACACAAAGTCAACTGAAGGCTTCACTAGTAGAAGGTAATGCATTATATTACTGTTTATACATTCAAACCCTGAATCACATTCACTGTACATCTGTCATGTTGATGGATCTGTTGGCCATCCCTCCATGCAGCCCCTGCTCTGCCTGTAAAGAGACTTGTGCCCCTTCCAAAGGAGCTGATGTTTCTGATGCCGGAACCATCCGCCCCAATGCCAACAGAGACCAACATCACTGTTCCAGGTGTGTGTATGTTTGACTCTTTGTACCTTGTACAGTTTGCTGACTACAGTGAAGATGCTAAGTGTCATACAACATTATTTCTTTATTTTACTGTTGATAATAATGACATGTTTTAATATTTTCTATAGTGGCTCCTGAGATTTCTGCAGAGACCTGTCAACCGACACTACATCCACCAGCTGCACCAACACAAAGTGAGTGATACTAACAATAATAATACATCACATGTTTGAGGCACCTTCAAGGTTTTGAATGTTTCTCATTTGGATGTGTACTTGCTAGAATGAAAAACATCCAAATCACAGACAATCGTAATGATTTGCCATATATTTTTATTAGGGCTGTCAAGTTCACGCGTTAACGCAAAAAAAATTAACGCCACTAATTATTTTAACGCGATTAACGCATGTGTATTTTTTGTCCTCGGCCGCCCCGTAGTTTCAGAGCGCATCGAGTTTAAAATACCATCTACNGGCTATTTTTATTATATGTACAGCACTTTGGCTCAACCAAAAATCGTTTATAAATGTGCTATATAAATAAAACTTGATTTGATTTGATTTGAAAATACATGAATAAGAAATTAATACAATCACAATTGGAGGCAACTAAACCACAACAACTGAATGTGAATGGGATGTAACCAACAACATCAATTGTTCTTCTGATAAAAAATTAGATACATTTTACATTATTGTGCACTCGACTTTACACTAATGATAAAAACCTTTATTTCTAAGCTTACTAAAAACTGCCAGTATTTAGATTGAGCATTTTTCTGAAAAGGCCAAAAATAAAAGCAACAAGTTAGCAACGTGCTGTAAGGGGGTACAAATACATGAAAAGCCTATAATTAAAATAATAATGCCAAGTGTCTCTCATGCCTTACAGAGGAAACAAGCCACACAATAAGCATACAGCTCATAAGCATTATAATTATCTCCAGTAATACATTTAAACAGCAGCTGAGCATGCATGTATTACATTTCAACATAATCTTAGACTGGTAAGAAAGCTCACTCCTTTTCTAATATTTAAGATACTTTACTTGGTCAGTCTTTCAACAGCTGTACACTTTTAGTGGAGATGACAAGATGATCATGTATTGAATGCTTTTAAAAGATCCATAAATTGTATCTTAAACTGAGATAACTTAATTTAAAAATAAGAGTGTCAGTAAAAGCAACATTACTGTGTTTTTTTCCAAACACCCAATGAGTGTATATGCTTAGATTAAGATATGGTGAGAGATGTTATTTAAGCTGGTCACAACCATAAAGTAGATCTAGTATTTTTTATAAAGGCACAATCCTTTAGAAATTGGCTTATAGTTGTTAAGGTTGGCAGTTTCATAGCGTTTATGAAATGGGGTCACAAAAGCGATCTTCTGGACCTGAAAACGCTCTACAAGATCAAACTGAGAGGTCTAAAAAATAAGTTATGTGACTGACTATGATCGAAGCAGCAAGCTTTATCCTTATCGTCTAAATCCTTCCAATGTATAACAAGTACAAATAATTAAACAGACACACACACCACACACCACACACCACACACACAATCAACTTGTCCTCCCATTACTGTGATCAAGGGCATGAGGGAGCTTTACAAATAAAAAACACATAATTTTCTCGTCAACAGACAGACATACAAAACCACAGAGCCAAGCCATTAGAAAGACGAACACACACAAACACTAACTGATAGAAGCGGTGACTCAACCAGACAGATTCTTGTGTGGGAGCATTTAATGAGCAGAACGTCGAAGAGATGACACTTCGCATCAGAGACAAGAGGGGCCTGAACGGGTAAGCAGTAAAGCTCTTTGTCCAAGCCCAATCAACTATCTGAGTCACACCGCCAAAAATCTGTATGAATATAGGAATCTGGAGACGTAGGTATTGAGAATACTTTCTGGGTATTTTGAGATATAATTCAGATATGGTTAACAGACTAACTTTTACAGGGTTGACTGGAGTCAGGTGCAAAATCCTGGCCCAGATAATGAATGTCGTACATTGCAGGAAAGTGGAATGTAACGTATTTCATTTTAGAATTTCATAATGAAAGAGGTTTTTCCTTGAGCCCTGCTACCCGAATCCACCTAGAAATTCAGCATTAATCCTGCTGACAAACAAACAGAGTAAAAAAATAACCTCCTGGAGGTAATTATAAATGATCCCAACCTTTTGTTCATTGTGCTTAATTTGAGCCTTGTTGTTGCATGGAAGTCTGTGCACAAACTTTGAAAGTTGAATAGGGGGTAGAGAACCACTATCAGAAGAGAACAAGTTTGATCAGAGCATTGTTTTTACAAGATGTAGGAGTAATAAAGACAGCTCTGACTAAAACTGTCAGGTGCTCAAGGTGGAGAGGAAGGTCTTTCTTTAGCTACCGTTCCTTGTTCCTTCTCTAAAGGTGTTGCTGTGATGCTTGAATGTTGTCAATCTAGCCGGGGGAATAAAAAGTCACTGAAATGTGTGAACTGCAAAATAAGTGTAATAGTCAGTCTGTCACAACAACGTCTCTCTTTCGTCTTAACTGCCATGTGTGCCGCTATCTGTTGTTGTATTTGTTATTGTTGTTGTTGTTTATATATTGTATGTTTTAATTTCAGAGGATGAGCATCATAGGAGAAAAAATTACATTTGTAAGCATCAGTTTGCACGTACTACTTTAAAAGCAGATGTGTGTCTCTGTAGTTGGCGTAAAGAAGTGGAATTATTTGCCGAATGATTTAAAGGGCTGTGAGAAAAATGTTGTGTTTAAGAAAATGTATAACAAAAACGTAATTAGACAGTATGAAGTTGACTTTTGATTGTGTTCTGGTTTTATGTTTCAGTATTTGTAAGCAACTGTGACTGAAAGAATAGTGCTTTTATTTTACTTTTTTATAGTTATTTCATTTCTTTTTTTTTAGAAGGGGGAGGTAAAATAAGATGTTCTTCCCCCTGCTCCTTTCCACCATGCGCTATCAAAAATAAAAAAAACAGTATAAGTGTACATGTTTTGTAAAGTGTATGTTTTGTTCTAAAATAACTGCCATGTCTGGAATAAACAAATAAATAAATACAAATAAAATATGTATACTGTGTTCATGTACAGTGCTGTGAAAAAATGAATTTCCCCTGGGGATAATACATCTAATCTAATCTAAATCCATTGGTGTCTTGACTAGTGGCATTCCGGCAAAGTGAAAAAAATAGTAAATTAATTTAAAGTTCTATGAGAAGTGTAAAGATGCTAAAATCAGGGAGACAGCACAATAATTGTATTTGTTAACTCCATCCTTCTGGTCAGCTCTAACCAAATCCTTGGACCCAATTCTTTAACATCTATTTAACTAACAGAACAAACAGGTTGAACGTTGAGAGTAAGAATGGGGCTTATATAGAGCACCTTGTCAAAGTATTAGGGTTTGCAAGCCACCAAACACAAACACAATTCTACAAATAATACAATTCTCATTCGAGTTTTGGCAAGAAATGGTCAAGTCTTTTCAAGGAGGTCACATGACTTTACTCTTTTGGAAAGAGACCTATAAAACCAGCCTTCAGCTCATTTTGACATATATCCTTGAGCACAAAAAAGCGGTAGACGATGGAGTGGAGAGCTTAAGAGGAATGTTGCATGTTCATTTGCCTGGTTCCCTCAAATTTTTAAGCAAGAAACGTTTTCAACAAAAACCCAACTGAACTAACATAAAAGGTCTTGCACATATTGGTACATAGAGGAACATTCCTAGTTTAATCAATTCATTGAAAGATGGGTGCAAATATGGACTGAAGTCAAAGTCAAATACCTGTTGAGGGCATTTTCCACCCAGACCTTCAAAGCCACATTTTGATGCTGTAATAAAACAAAAAACCTCATTCCCTATCACTGCAACATCAGTGTTTATATTGTCTGCAGAGAGGTATTTGTTACGAAAATAAACACGTCTATTATGTGAAAAACACGAAGCTCTCAAGCATAAATCTTTGCAAGAATTAAAGAGATATGATGTGAATTTTCCACTTGTTAAGTATTTGTTGACTACAATCTGTGTTGAAAGCGTATGATTACCACAACTTGACTCCAATTTGGATTTATTTCCAAAATCCTCATTTGACATGTCTTAATCTGAACTGAACAACCCACAATGTATTGCACACTGCTGAGACTGAATTCACAGAAAAAACACAAAGCAACGACTCATAGACTCCTTAATTGATGATTCACTCTATCCTTCTGGATGTGCAGTAAAACGCTCGGTTGTCCACTTTAACTCTCTACACCCTAGAGAAGGCGCAGGAAATAGCTGTCAAGGCTTCCAAGTAAACTTTAAGTGATTCCCTTTGACCAATTACAGAGCTCAGATGATTCATCCGAGGGTTCTGTGTGTTCATATGTCCGTGCTGCAGTCAATATTCTTTTCATTTGATGGTGTTTGTCGTATAGAAGAATAAGTGACAGAAAAACTATTTATTTTCACCCAGACATGTATTCTTAATGCTTTCTGTGCTTCTATTTATTGTTGCTTCAGTCTATAACCTTTTGTTATAGAATCAATTTTGATGCACTTATTCACAATTACACAGCACTCGGCCGTCTTAATGGATGCAAAGGCCTGCATCTTTAAATGGTGTCTCTCTCTGGCTCTGTAATCGAAACTTCTACAGTGTAGGTATTAATCCCCCCTATAATGATACCAGATGGAGATGACAGTGTTATTACTCCAGGACAAAAATGTATTTTTTTTATGTCGTGAGATATTACAAATTATATTTTAAATATTTACTATGGATGGAATTAATGTTGAGAGGCATGGGAGTAGATAAGAATGGACAGACTGAGAATTGGTCGATAATGTTGGTTGAGACAAGGAGTCAGAGTAACCTGGTTTGAACTGTCCTGTGTTTGGTCTGTCTGTCTGTCTTTTTTTCCAACTAAAGTTTGACCATCCTGGACTTTTTCTGTCCGTGTATTTTTCTCTGCTTTTCAAGCACAAAAGAGGAAAAACAAGCACTCTAATGCATATTTTCTTGCTGCCCTTTTGACCGATGATGTGGGATATGTCTGGAAGGTAACCCCTTTAATTGCCATTACTCTTGCTAGATTCACTGACTGACAACCTGTCCTCGCCTGAAACCGTTTCAGTTGAATTCCTTAACTCAACCATATAGTGTGAGTTAAGCAAATCCACCATCTTGCCATGTC